AGAAATATGCTCATATGTAAGTGTTGAAGAACGTCTATGCTTCACGTTTTTTGATGCATTGGAGCTTTGCCCATTTTTCTCGTCATGGTTTCCCTCGAAAGTGAAATATTTAGGAACTGATTACAACTCTTTGAAAGAGTAACTTGTGAGCTTTCCCCATTTTTCTTGAATTCCTTCTTCTGTTTCCAGGTCTTTTCGCTTCTGTTACGACAATTCGCATGAACTTGATGCAGAAGTTTTTTTGCAAACACGTGTTTTTATTTCTTCGCATCCTCTTCTTTTTCTGTGTTTTATTCAATGGTCTAATTTACGTTTTTACAGGTCTACCCTGATGACTCATTGGATAAGCTTCCGGACACTTTGAACATTGGTGACGTGTCGGAACCTGTGACAGTTGGCAAGCCATCGTCATCACTGAAAGCAAAGAATCCTTTGGCTGACGATGCTCGGGCTTCGTCTTCTGCTCCATCGAGCATCTCCCCAGCAAGCTAATCGACTCGATTTTGGAATCAGCAGTTTTTTCTTAGGATGACTTTTTAACTTTTCTTTTTCAGAATGTTTGTGCTTCTTGTTTTCAAGATGAGATCTGTGTCTATACATTTGCTTCTTGCTGTACAGGTTGAATCTGTTTTGTACTCTCTCCATTGTTTTGAGTTTTTTTTGTTACAAATTGGTGAAATTTGAAATGCATATTACTTCATTGAGACGCACTGATTTTTTTTTTAATTTGGTCATACGTTAACCTTTCATTTATTTAGATTTTCTTTTTAATTTTTTGTTTAATTTTGTTTCCTCTACCAAAAATGCTAAGTGAAGCCTGATTAATTGGTAAGAGTATAAAGATGTTTAAAACTACTACTACTCGGCCACAAATGTTAAGCTGCCTAATCGTTTGCCTATTGTAAGTCAGGTAAAAAAGTAAAAAACGCATATTTATACAATGAAATATCATATTAAAGTATATGTTATTTACTTATTTTCTAAGATATGTTGCAAACGAGCCGATTCGAGTATTGTCTTTACCGAGCAACATAGATTTTTTTTACCTGCTCGAGCTCGAGCTCGTCAAGCTCGATTTATGACGCTCAAGATCTACTCGACAAAAGAAGACAATCGCTATAATATTCGAAAGATTGCTCGAGCTCGATTCGAGTTGACTCAAATTTCAAGTAAACATATATAAAATATTGTAATATTTATATATAAGTGTTGTTTTAGTAATCGTATGCTCGAGATCGACTCGATAACATGCTCGAGCCGCTTGGTTCATTTGCAGCCTTAGGTATGACATTTAAATATGAATGTATGCATATATTTGTAGTATGAAAGTCCAACCATTATGCAGTCTAATAGAAGACCAACCGAAATCCTCAATTGTATTTCAGTTTCACATCATAATGTTCCTCACTGAACAATAAACTGCATAATATGAATCTTTTTTCTCTCATACACATCATCTTCCTCATCGTGGAATTTAAGACGAATAATATACACAGAAAGCTACGACACGAGGAACCCATATTTCATCGTAACCATAGTGATACTTGCGAACTTTTCTGGGCAACAACAAAAGTCGAACACAATAAGAATCGAGCCCCTCTCCACAGTGAAGTACCAATTGAGGAAAACCGAGTCGTGCAGAGATACTTAGAATAGTCCCCAGATGAATTTATACAGTGTTATTTCGCAAGTTTGCAGTTGCTTCAGTTAAAGAACTCAAAATAGTCTCGCCAACTTCGGCTTTACAAAGAGGACACGACGCGTTGATTTTCAGCCACTTGTCAACACATTCTTTGTGGAAGAAATGGGAGCAAGGCAGCTCACGAAGTTCGTCGTTATTCGCGTACTTTGTCAAGCAAATACAGCAAACCTGTCAGAAAATGAAGTTTAGAAAAATGTGGCATGGTTAGTTGTTAGTCTGAATTTTTAGTTTATAATTATAATAATATTTAAAATAAATTAATTAAAAGTATATTTGAGGTAAAAGTAAGAGAGATGATGTGAAGTGATGATTAGTTAAAATTATGTGAGTGGATGAATAGCGAATTCAAGTTGATGTTATGTTTAAGAGTGCTTGATTAATATAATTTAATTATATTGATATGTGAGGTTGGGTTAAAGTTGAGTTTTAAAAAAAAAGTGATTCGTTAAAAATGATTGATTTTTTTTTTGTTGAGAAATCTTGTATCCAAGCATGCTCTAAATCTGACAATATCAAGGTCTTTGTAAGGTAATTACAATACTTAAAAGGGATATGTGCAATTTTGAAAATAAGTAGGCTTCGTAACCAGAATAAGTTTCAGGGGCATTTCTCACGATCATCGTTTTTTAGAAAATAGGCTTGACCTCAGTGGAAGCCATTTCAGACTCAGTTATACTTAACTGAAAATAGCTAATAAAGAAGGAAACCCATGAATAAAATACTTAACTTAAACATGTTTATTTAATAAAATCTTGAATGCCAAGATAAATGAGAGAAAGCTTACTGCATCTTCTCCTGACACCACACGCTCTTTCTCAGTCCCGGCAGCCACTATCCCACCCTCGACTCCACCTGCCTCCTTATCATTGGAGCTTTTATTTTTCTTTACTTTAAATTTATAAGTTGGCAGGGAATTAATTGATTCCTGAGTTGCTCCTCTATTCTGCGCAAAATCTTCTCTGAAGCCAAGAACTGATATTATACACGGCAGGCAGCAGCAGATTGTGGTGCACAGAATAAACGGCATTGCATAACCGATACAGCTAATGGCAAGAAATACTATGCACAACCTGTACGTAAAACCAAAAAAGGCATGTTAATTGAGCAGCAAATACAGGGTGGATAATTAGATAAAGATTTGGCACATTTTATGTGCGTTCTAGGTAAGTATACAATTATATATTCTTACCACCAGTATTGCCACTGATAATCAGAATACATAATATAAAAATTAATAAATGCTGCTTTAGTTACAAAAAGTGCACCAATATAATAAAGTTACCGTTGAGGTCTCAATTGTAATAAACCTCAGCCCACTTTCAAAATTACACACCACGTGCAAAAATAAAAATCTCTGGGATATTTGTAATACCTTTAGGGTGAAGAGGTATTTTTTTTTTAAAAAAAAAGGTATGTTTTCCGGTAATTAGATATATCCTCCACGGCAATTTAGTGATTATTCCATAAATATTATCATGTATTTCATAGGCAATTAATTTGTTCGTGCATTACGTGTACAGGTTGGGAGCTTCATTGGAAGATGAGTGTCCTCCGAAAATCCATACATTGCCAACCACAAACCAGACAGCAAAGAAGCAATCCAAAGCCATCTTGAAGTACTCAACAAACACCTTAAGTCTGCAAAGAGTAAGCACAGGCTATTTGTTAAGTTGCACCCAGAAGACTAAAAAATCCCTAAGGACCCAATCAAAATATTCCAACACGAATAACACAACACAAATGAGGCGTAAATTCTAATCTACAACATTAACAGCCGTAGATCAGATTTTTAAGATTTTCGTTTTTGCTCTAGTAGTTTACTAACATAAAGTGACTGATAATTCAACTTCCATTCATCTTCCCTCCTAAACATTTTTTAACTCACAAACCATTCTTTATCATAGATATGGTGACTCATTTCTGGACATAACAAAGTAGTATTGACATACCGCAACCAGAGAGAATGCCATTCTATAGTCTTCAATTCATAGCTATATACGAAACTAACAGAATTGTCTAAGGAAGCTTGAACGTGAAACTCCGAGCATTAGTATTAAAAAAGACGAGTGGAAATTGTCACAAAACCTCTTCAAAATTCATCAGTTGCTATATCATTTCCAGTTTCATTAATCCATTTTTACTTTAACTGAACTCAAGTAGTTTGCACTTTGTATGCATAGTCATCGCCAGAAAAACACTTAAATTCTTTTCCAGTCATAAATCACTATCTACATCATATCTAATAGATAGGCACGCCGATTGAAGAATCGGATAGAACGGCACAACAGAAACAATACACTTGAAACTTTCAGATATTTGAATAACTTGACCACTACAGCCTTCAAAAACTCAAAACATTATAGACCAACATAAATCCAATGCTTCATGAAGCAACTTCACAAAAATAGTATTATAAACATCTAAAGAAAATGCATTGCTAAAACACACGAAGCATGCAGTATATATAACAAACATTTATGACTACCTCGAATTCAATAATCCATTGCTTTGGTTGCCTCTGATAACTGCACCATTTGCCATACGATTACCATTACCATTACCATTACCATTACCCTGTGAAGAATCCATTTGACTACCTTCCATGACTCTCCTAGTCATGGTCCCACCATTACCATTATTACCCTGCGAAGAATCCAAACGCTGGGACCCTTCCTGTTCAGAAACCTGGTTCCGATGCTTAAAACGCCAGTACAAAAGAGGAAGAATGGCAAAACAACCAGATGCATATCCCACGATCCACTCCCTCAGAGGGGCCCGCGGGCTCTCATGCTTGGACAGAGACAAAATCACAACAGCCGCAACAATCTGGCTGACTGTCAAAACTAACTCCACAGATATCCACAGAGCAGAATTCAATGGGCTTCTCTGACGGGCCCGGCTGTTTCCTCTCCGGACAACTGACGAGTTTCTTGAAGTTGGGCCAGCAGAAAACATTGCAGGCTGATAGACGGGGTTTCTTGAGCTCGTGGAAGTCTGATCGTCACTAAATTGTTGGCGGACATCACCTGGCAGCCTCTCGTTAGCCGAAACTGAAGGTGAATGGTTGCTGCTGCTTGCAATGTCGATTACGTGCTCGTTTTCATTACGGGCCTCCATTAGCAACGGGACTTTGTTGGTCTGGGTTTTACGGTGAAGTCCCAGAATGGGAAATGCCATTCAAGTCACCTGGCAGGGGACAAATCACAGAGAAGTGGATGACTAACATTTATATGCAGGTCACTCAGGTGTAAATGCTGCCCGCTTTTGACACAATCTGGAGCCAAATTATACAATCAGGTGAGCTCAACCTGTTCGAAGTGCATAACAAGTGCAGGGAGGTTAGAACTACTGACTCGGGTTTGCTCAAAATTTGAAAAATAAGGAACGTCGTTGGTAAGTGGAAATACCAAACACAAGACTACTGCAAAAAGAAATTTCATGGAGTTTTATATTCCCTTTTTTTTTTTCAATGGTAGTTCAATTATACTCTTTACATTGTAAATGAGTCAATTTTTCCACAGCTCAGCTGAAGGGCAATGAATGTGATAAGAAGTATTACTTCAATAAAGCAACACAAACTATTACAGAACATTGATTATTGAGCAAACCTAACAAAGTACTATAATGTCAAGATATGCAGGAAACTGAACTAAATTTCTTGAAGTTGAGCAGCCATCAGAACAAAAGGTCAATATCTTAAACTAAAACACATCAAAAACAAGTAAGAAAGGCACAGTGACTACAGCTACCGAATACCTTTTCACAATCATAAATAGCGATAAAAGACTCGACTCATTCAATCATGGCTGATTAAATTCAAAAAATTCCACTAACCCAATTAGCCCCAACACCAAAATTACAATCCCCATCAACACTGGATCTTGAGCACCTTTACAATAAACATTTACCGGGAAATTTTCAACAGAAAAGAACAAAAAAATCAACGAACCTCATTTAACCTAGAAATTATGCAATTCTGAGCTTCAAGATCATTCACCAACAAAATTCAAAATAAAATCATTCCCAAAAACATACAAATTACTGAGCAGATGACTCCGTTCTCGCGAAAAGGTATCAGCTGAAGATTTCAGCTGAAGAAAAGCTTCGAATCGTTTGATGAATTTTTCTTTTTTTTATAGTTTTCACCTTTCGAAAATGAATTTTATGTTCACGCGTTTTACCTTTCAACGATATTTTCACTCTTTTCTCGTTTTTAATTGGCTCAAAATTGTCGCCCTATAATACTATTTTTATTTTATTATTTCTCTTTCCTTCTTTTTGGTTATGAACTGACTTTGACTTCGGTTAATATTGAATAAAGTTGTTGCTAGCTAAAAATTACTTAAAATAACAGAATTTTAAACGGTAATTTATTATATAATAAAAATAAAATCTTTTTTAAGCTATAAACTATTTAAAATTGTGTAGTGATGTTATTCGAGCTATCCCTCCCGAATTTCTACTTGTTTAATAAATGAGTCAAAAAATTGATTCGCTCGCCTAATAAACTTAAGTTTTTAAACAATTTGTTTGCGAACATGAAATATCCATTTGCAAATAAGTTCATTTCAATTATTTAATTTAAATTTTGTAACAAAATAATATGTTCGTAAACAAACAAGGCTAGACTCAATCAATAAACAAACTCGATTAATTATTCGAACTTAGCTCGTTTGAGTAAATTTAGAAATTTCACAGAGCTTAACCTCAATATGACAATAGACAACATTATTGTTATTGTTGTTGTTGTTGAAATTTATATTTAGGTGGCATTGCTATTTCCTTGCATAATTCATTGTAAGAGTTGAGAGTGTGCAAATAAATCTTAAAAAAAATTGTACTATAGTTTTATGTACATTATTAAACTTTTTATGTGCATGAAAAGCAAAGTTGCTTCCATAAATTCTGTAACCTTTCTAGATTGAATTGCATTTAGATATAATAATCTAATTTCTAATAGTTAGATTCAATAGCTACCATAATATAACTCTCACCACTTATATATAATCATCCCAAGGAAGCACGCTTGCCCCTTTAAAGCTTGCTCATAATAATTTATTTTCATAATTAGATATGCATTAGTGAAATAATTATCTATTTATCTTCACTATATATACACGTTAAAGCAATTATCATTTAGTGTCAACGTGTGTTGTCTTCACCTTTCAACAATGTTATGATCATCAAATTTACCAGTGAATTTAGGCATCAATTGTACGCGTATATTATTTTCATATTTTTTTTAATAGTTCATATTATTATATTATTTATTATTATTATTAGTGAATCAATGTCAATAATTTGGCAGTTAAGATTTAATAATATTGGAGATATGCTTTATAAAGAAGCAAGGCATATTTGTCAATTTAAATACTATATTTGTGTTTTTTCTCATAGAAAAGCACATAATTGACGGAAAACGATCATAAATCAAAATAAAAAAATATCAAGAAAGCTATGAACTCCTGTAAATTTTATGTATAATTTAATTAATACAAAGTTACATATTTTATAAATTGGTAATATTACAACTTTATGGTTTATTCAATTTCTATCAAAAAGTTATAAATATACCAATTAAATTAGTTACAAGAGCATACTTTCAAATTTAAAATTTTATAATGTTATAAAAATATTATAAGTAAAAGTATGATAAATTATATCCTAGCACAATTATATACTTTTAATCAATCCGACTAATGGTTAAACCGATCCACACTAGAACTTGTGTTACTTTTGAATTTGAAATAAGAAAAAATAAAAATAAAAATTGGGCTTAAAAGTTAAAACCATGAATTGGTTAAACTACCTTATGCAGTAAATTTGCAGGCGCAGTTAAAATAACCGTACTCATTGCCTCTGTTCCTTCTTTTCTTAACAAGAAGGAAACAACAAAAAGAAACAAACTCAATTGAAATTATTGAAATTGAATCCTTTCTCATTAACCCTCGAATTTTCCCCCAATTTTCTTCCAAATCCACCTATCCATGGCAGATCTGCACAACTAAACCATGACACACACACGCACTAGTTTTCTCCTCTCTCTTTCTCTATATATCTCTCACTCTATCTCTTACACTTTGTGCAAGTACACACACATGTGGATATAAAATGTGTGCATAATTGGAGGTCCAGCTTTCCTCTGTAGCCTGCATGTGTGTGCCTGCCTATGTTTATTTGTTTTCCTTTTCTTGTTTTCTTACTGTCTGAGGAATCCTAGGTGATTTTCGACTTAAATACAGCTACTTGCTATTCGAACCATGATTCATATTTGTTGTCTCCCACAGAACGATGTATTTTTGTGTGTTTTTCAGTTGCTATTGATGTGCGCCTATACATAGGCATGTGATTGTGTGTTTGTGGTTATATTGTGATTTGGGTTTCTAATTTTACACCGTGAGTGTTATTGGGTGGTTTTTATTGAATATCTGGCACGCATTCATAACTTCTGGGATTTGTTTTCTGATCCTGTTTGTATTTTTTTTTCAGCCGAAATATTGTTCAAAGAATTAATCTTTATGCATTTCATGTTGTAATTTGGCTTGCTCATTGATGGGGTGTTTTTAGATTTTTCATTTTTCTCGATTTTGTTGATTCATGGCATGCGTTTGATGATTTATTAGACTTTCTATTCTCATTCCCGAACCCCTCTCACTTTCCCTTTCAAATACTGTTCAAAGATCTCATTTTTGTGCATTTCCTGTTGTCATTTTTGTTCAGATCCTTAATTTCATCGTCCATGCACACTTACTTTGGGCCTTTGGCCTACTTTCTTGCTCTCCCTTAACAATTTCCAGTTTTTCTCTTACCAATTTGGAAAAAAAGAAATAAAAAAAAAATAAAAACCTGAAAACCCAGAATGTGGAAGCAATTCCTCAGTAAACTCCCCCAGAAAAATTCACCCAGAAACCCTAATTCTTATTCTGCCCCAAATGCACCATCCCAGCATTCGGGCCTACACGGGCCGGCCAACACCGCTGCAAAACGGGCCTCAGCCGCGGCTGTGTTCCCAGCCAGCACGATTGCCGGAATCGAGCCTCTCCTCGCTTTCAAAGATGTCCCGAGCTCTCAAAAAACGAACCTTTTCATCAGCAAGCTTAGTCTATGCTGTGTGGTATTCGACTTCACAGACCCCTCCAAACACATTCAAGAAAAGGAGCTCAAACGGGCCACATTGCTCGAGCTTCTCGAGTTCATATCCGAAAACCCTCCGAAATTCCCCGAGCCCGCGATCCTAGCTTCGTGCAAGATGTGCGCAATCAACTTGTTCCGAGTCTTCCCACCAAGTACCCGCTCACGGGCCCACAGCCCATCTGAAAACGACAATTGGGCCGAGCCCATATTCGAGCCCGCTTGGGCCCACTTGCAGATAGTCTACGATTTCCTCCTCAAGCTCGTGACTTTATCTTCCCTTGACACGAAAATCGCAAAGAAGTACGTAGATCACTCGTTCATATCGAGAATAATCGATCTTTTCGACTCGGATGATCCTCGGGAGAGGGACTGTCTGAAAGCTATTCTCCACAGGATTTACGGCAAGTTCATGATTCACAGGCCGTTTATAAGAAAGAGCTTAAGCAATGTTTTTTACAGATTTGTATTCGAGATGGAAAAGCACAATGGGATAGCGGAGCTGCTCGAGATTTTCGGGAGTGTGATTATGGGTTTTGCTCTGCCTCTGAAAGAAGAGCATAAGATATTGTTTTGGAGAGCTTTGCTCCCTCTGCACAGGCCCAAGTCTTTGGGGGTTTATTTTCAGCAGCTTTCGTATTGCGTGACTCAGTTTGTCGAGAAGGAGCCTAATCTGGCTAGTGGTGTGATTATGGGGCTGTTAAGGTGTTGGCCGATTACGAACAGTCAAAAGGAGTTGATGTTTTTGGGCGAGGTTGAGGAGATTTTAGAGATGATGAGCATGAGCGAATTCGAGAGAATCATGATCCCATTGTTCGGTCGGATTAAATGCTGCATAAATAGTTATCATTTTCAGGTAAATTTTTTATTTTTTATTTTTTGTTCAGTGATTTTTACTAGTTCCATTTTGTTCACTTGAGTTTTATAGATGGCACTTGTTATGTATTTAGACATGCTACATAATATCAGGCTTTCCCACTGGAAAAATATAAGATTATGGATATACTGATTGATTGCCTTCTTGTTCAGTATCAGTAAAATTATTGATGGTGGTTTATTTGAATTGATCCAATGTGTATTGATGGCACATTTTTTCACTTCCTCAGAAAATTAGCAATATACTGCATTTTGCCTGTTTCTTTAAACTTAAATGAGTTATATATCAAGCAATGCAGGAATTGATTTTTCTTCTTCTTTCGTTTCTCTTGAATCTCTATATTGGAGCCCTTTTGAATGTGTAAACATTGATGGGAAATTGCTATATGTCTATTTATAAAAGTCCATGGTACAAATTCAACAGAATGTATAGAATTCGTTTTTACCATCACACAAAGTGTTGGATTGAGGTTTTATCGATTCAAGTCGATATGTTGTCAATATAAATATCATAAGCATATCAATTTACTCTTCTTCGTTTTTTCCTTTTTTTCCTTTTTTTCCTTTTTTTTTTTGTTCAGGTAGCTGAGAGGGCCTTGCTTTTTTGGAATAACGACCAAATCTTGAACCTTATTTCGCACAATCGCCAAGTTATTCTGCCTATAATAATCCCAGCTCTCGAGAAAAACACACAGAGCCACTGGAATCAGGCTGTACTCAACTTAACCTTGAACGTACGAAAAATGCTAATGGACATGGATGATGCCTTAACATCATCCTGCATTCGCAATTTCCGAGAGGAACAGAAAAAGTCGAAATTAGCAGCCGATAAACGAAAGCTCGTTTGGGAACACTTTGAAAATATCGCAAGTCTTCAACCAGTAGCAGAAAACACCGCTGTTCTGGTAATTCATTAGACATATCATCGTGTAATGTTAGATACAGTTTTTTGTGCATTTTGATCTTTTTTTTTCCTTACCTTTTTTTTTCGTTTTATCTATGTTGTATGGCTGTTGGGGCTCGTTTAGATTATTCAAACGAAGGCGTGTAGTGTAAAATTAACATCTTTTGTTCTTTTCTTTTTCTTTTCTTGAAACTCTTTTTTGTTACTGATGTTGTACCTTTGGAAAGTTTGAGTGGTAAATGGTAATATACATCTGTCTGTCTATCTATCTATATGTCTTCTTCTTCTTCATCGTCTTCTTATTAAGATGTGCTTGCATTTATGAATGTATATATAAGTAATGCCTGAAATGATTCGTATATATAAGTAATGTCTGAAATGATTCGCAACTGTCCTGACAAGAATAGATATTTAGTAATTTAATTGAAGTTCAAGTCAAATGTTTGTGATTCTGTACATGAGTCGAATGAAACAGCTCAATAATGAAAAAATGGGCGAACCATTTTTCGCCTCTTTATCCGCCTGTTTTCCTTCAGAAAAGCGATTGCACAGGTTTTGATGAATAAAGTGTCGAAACGTACTTGAACTGTCATGACAGTGAACAAACATCAAGAAATGTTTTTTTTTTTTTCTTTTCTTTGTTC